GATGAATACCTTGCAGAGAAAAGTAAGAGCTGTGCAATGGTGCTGTTACACCAGTTTTATCGCTGGCTTTGGCTCACCAGTTGTGGCACAAGCGAGGGGCTGTCAGAACAGACAGGAGTTGCCAAGAATACTTAACGCTCTGTCATTTTCTCTTGATCCAGACCCATGCAGCGAAGAAGGGAGAGGTGATGGCTGAAAACCAGGAGTACTCTTGAGTCCGAAGAGTGCAGACTCATCCTCCTGTCTTGCGGATTGATTTTCATGGTTAGAGAAAGGTACAAGTGCTGTTGTCCATTAAAACACATCTCTAAGCAAAATACATTCAATAGCATAAATCATTGACCACTATAAACAAATGCCAAATAGAACAGCCTAATAGCAGAGGCTGTTGGTTGCTTGTACTGCATTAAAATAGATCAGGTCTCAAGTGACTGAATTATGCTTTGTCAAGAAGAGAGAGATATCAGTATTGTGTGAGGCAAATGCTAACCAATCTAATTTAAACCACAGGCTAAATTTGCCCGCCAAGGACTGATTCTCTGTGTCTCAAGTACTGTGGGGAAAGCGGAGAAAATTACAATGAGGACACTCCTAAGCTGCTCTCAAAATTTGCCAGTGCCATCTGCAGCCTGTCTTGGCTGGTAGTTTACACTGATGGATATTGCTCAAGAGTCTTTTAATACTGTCTTCCATCCATGAGGTCATATTCCCTGGAAATGGCTTGCCAAAGGGTGTTCAGTTTTCCATCAGTCCAGTCCCATTTCACCACATTAAAACATGTTTGTCTGTAGAAATGGCACTGCGTTATGCAGGGGACTTTTGCAGCCTCTCCAAGACTGGTGCAGCTTCCTTAATGTAAAAGCAGTCGCACCTGTGACTTTGGTGGAAGAACATTTTTCCCAAAGCTCCCAGTCGCTCTCTCTGCTCTGTCATTGCAAGGCTCCTATTGTCTTAATGGCTGGCAGCACGTTTGGAGCTTGGTAAAATTTTAGACTGTCCATGCACACCCCTTCCCAACGAGGCCAAATTTTAGGCGTGCTGCAAGAAGGGGGAAGAGGAGACAGGGGGAGAAGAAAGATGTTAAGGTGATGGGTACAATAAAATGAGGTTTAAGTTAATTCCTTTGTTACATATAGTGCTGTGAGGAGCGGTTTTTAAAGATTTTCAATAAAGCAAGATGTGCGTAATAGCTTTTCTGATCGTGAAGGTGACCTAGGAAATTGAATTCCACTGAAGCTGAGATGGCACTGCAGTACCGTGCAGCGACTGAGCAGTGGACTAGACACCCCGACTGACAGCACCTCCTTGCCTTGCCCCTGTGTTACCATCTTTAACGTTTTGAGTGCCACCGTGCGGTGAAATTCTGCGATAATTTCTATTTTAACTTGCAGTTATTTCAATCCGCACGTCACCATTGGCAACCTGGAGCATTCCACCCACCAGTGAACTCGCGTTACTAAGTAATGCTGCACTCTGCTTCGGTTTTCGTTCTCTCCTCCGAAACACGCAGTGGTGCGTTTCCTCTGCCTCTTGCTGCGTCACGTCTCCCAGCATCACAACAGAAAAGCCTCGCGCGCTCAGTTGAGGAGCTGAGCACCGTGCTGGTTTGATTTATTGGTACGGGTCAGCTTATTCAGATGAGCAGGCTGATTGAAGATAGATGTTACGTCCTTTATCTGTCAGTTTGGCATAGCACAGCTGTGATGGGAGCCATTACTACAGGAAGATTGCAAATTCCCCATCTATCAGGATGAAGAAACAGGAAAGAGGATCCTTATCCACAGGACGTCAGCTGTCTGGAGACACCAGTTAAAGGGGCATTAGACACTCAGATCTGCTGCACTTCTAACCCTAGCATCAAAGCTGCTTAGGTAATTGTCTTACTGCTAATTTAACAACAGTGAAGTTGACATTGCCCTTATTTTATGTTCATCAAAACACCAAGTGTTATTATTTATGTACTTTTTGTTGGTGTTTGAGTTCCACAGCATTGATTTTTTTTTTTCCCCCTCTCTGATCAGAAGTAACAATTACATGATTTGTATTTATATACATGATGGGTCAAGATTCACAGGGAGAGGCAGCTCTTCATTGGTTGAAAACCAGACAAAATTTTAAGTGTGCAATCTTTTCAGGACTGATGTGGATAAAAAAATCTTCAAAACTAGATACAGATTGAAAAAACTTAGCTCCAAGTTTACTTCATATTATTCGGTTAGATAATTTGAGAGATAAAGGGGTTGGTACTTGTGGAACAGAAGGAAGCGTTGGCAAGAAGGAAGGTGATAATAGAATTAAGCCCTATGAGAGAGACATGATTAGTGGTTGTGGGAGAAGTATGGAAATCACAATTTGCCATAAAACCAATCCCTCTACTGAATCTATAATGTTTAGTATCCAGTAACTATGTGTCTTAAGTTCTTAAGCTCAGGATCAAGACTTAAGAGGTCACAGATAAGGTGGTTATTTTGTAAAAAAATCACTTTCTTTATTCATTTTCTGTAGGAGCACACACTGGTGAACAGGTTTGATGTATTCCCTTGTGGTTTATACAAACGCATTTAAAATTGTGTCATAGACCAAAGCTAATACACATGCATTGCATCTTTTATTTTGACGAAAGGCATCCATTACAGATTCACGTTGGCAAGTTTTACATTCCTGCTCTTGGAGAGTCTGGCTCCAGCCTGGGCATGGTGGTCTGCCTGCGGCTGCCTGCTGCTGGGTGTAGTGACGTTATGGGATCATTTGAAAGCTGGGAGCTCTGCTCGGGTAACGCGCATCAAACATGTAAGAATACATTCTTTCGGCAGCGTAATTCAGGTAGCTGAGTGGATTGTAGAAAGATATAAAAATATTTGCTCCAATAGACAGCCTTTGGCCTAAGTATCTACAGAATACCAGAGCTCTCGGTATAAGCCTCACAAGAAAAGCACCTAAGTATTGTTGTTCCCATTTTAAGAGGAATTGGGAAATTTAATACATCACTTTAAGAACATATAAAACCCTAAAAGAACTAGGGATAGAGATGTTCCTGGTCCTCCTCTTTAAGCAAAAGAACATCCGTTCTCCAGCTGGACACCATGAAAGAAAGGTTGAGTTCTGTTTCAGATGGTTTCTCAAGAAAGTTGTCATTTATCCATACTCGTGTGTTACCTTATAAACACTGCTCATACACAGATGAGGGCAAAGCTTGAGGAAGAGATCAGATTTGCCCATTTTTATTATTCCCCAGGTTCCTTAGGGGATTACAGAAATTACTATTTCATATTTCATGGATCAAAAGGAAAGACTATAAACACTTTAAGGGAAAAATTTTATTAAAATGCATTATAACACTCTGGACTAACTTCTGAAGGGAGATCCACAAGGGTTGTACATTACATGGCAGTGAATGAAGGGCCTGTTACTCTCTAGTAAAGTTGAAAGAAATAGGGTGGAAGAAACAGCATCAAATCGAAGGGTGTTCACACATTCCTATGTCCATTTGCCTGCACCCATTCTAACTGGAAATGAACTTTCTCTTTCACTTTGGAAAGAG